TGAACGGGAGTTGTTGACCGTGAACACGTGCATGTGAAGCGGTGCGTTTTGGCGCCCGTCTTGAGTTCACGGACGCGTTTCAGAGTTCACGGTCGTAGAACTGAGCTCGTCTCCTGTTCAAAAGATGAGCTAAAAGGAAGAGAGAGGGAGAGCCCAATGTGTGAGAAAACCTTCTTCCGATTTCTAGAGAGAAAGACAAACCAAAGGAGAAGGAGGCTAGGGTTTTGCTCCAAGGTGGGATTTGGGAAGATTTTCCCCAAGAGAAGTTCAGCACAAGTGTCTATAAGATTGGAAGCCTCCTTCAAGATGGTTTCTCCCTCTTCTCCTTGTGGTTCTCCCATTTCTAGCGTGGAGTAGATTTCTTTTCACTTGGGTGTTGTGAAACCCTAACTAGCTACCATATAGTTTCTTTTATGTGAATTGAATGATTGTCATTGGGTATTTTTTAATTCAATGATTGAGGTATTATTGATGTTGGTGCTTAGTAATCTAATTAGCCACTTCAACCTAGATTAGAGAGGAAAATTCCCCTTTCAAGGGAGACTAAATCGAGTTGGTTTTCCTTTAGCTTTTAAAGTTACCTAACTAGGTTAATTTAGGGCAAATCTCAATATTGAATTAAGCAAATTGGTTAAGCGCAATTAAGCCGTCCAACCCTTGATTTGAGTGAGGGAGTAGGGATGGCAATCAAACCCATGACCGCGGGTACCCGACCGCCCCCGACCCAGTCAACGCGGGGAATCCCCGCTTTGACCGGGTATGGGGCGGGTATGGGTAAAACCCGCAAAAAGTTTGATGGGTATGGGGCGGGTATGGTTTTAGCCTCCCCCGCCCCATACCCATACCCATACCCGCCCCACCAAGAGGATTTCTACACATATAAAAAAATATGTGGATCAAATTGTAATCTATCAATGAAGATGAGGATAACTCGAGAAATCAAATAGTAGAAATGCAATTGAGTGACCACCCTATTCAAAACATAATTCATTTCCCTCAATTCTCTTCACTCTTTCACTTTCACCCTTGTCAACCAGATTATGTTAGTTAATTATTACTTAGTAGATGTATCAAAATTAGAGCATAATAATTGTACTCTATATTATGTATTAATGGATGTTTTAGAATCATATTCTTTGAATCGTATTAAGAAAATGACCGTGTTTTGTTGACTTTGTGATATAATAGGTTTTGTTTAGAGTTATAATTAAACATTTTCTTGTAAGTTTTAGGTATAATAATATTGGATGTACGGGGACGGGTATTACCCATGGGTACCCGAAACCCACGGGTATGGGGATGGGTTTGCAAAATGTTCCCCCGCATGGGTATGTGTGTAGGTGGTGCATGACCATGAGGAGTTTTAAAATGCTATATAGTATTGGTGCTATAGGTTTTTGTTTTTATGGTACAATTTAAAATTGTACATTTACGTTATGGTACAACTTCATATTGTACCTATACTTTTTGTATAAATTCTTTTATGGTACAACTTGAATTTGTACCTTTATGTGATGGTACAACTTCAAGTTGTAAAGTTGTATCATAACATAACGATACAAATTCCTTTATGGTACAACCTAAATTTATACATTTAATGTTATGGTACAACTTCAAGTTGTACATTAAAGCACCAATACTATATAGCATAGTAGAAGTGCTCTACTGTAATGGCTTTATATATTTGAATTATATTTATGGTACATATTCAGGAAAGGACCCAGGAGGTTGTGTTCGGGGGCCCAAAATTTACATCCGCTTCCGCCTCGTACAAAGGAACTCGTTTTTGGGAACTTTCACAACTTAAAATAATATGTTTCCCGCTTATAACTAGAGAGATCGAGATCATTACAAAAGACTCTAAATTACTTTCGCCTCAGTTAAATTTAACTGCGAGCAATCTACGTATGTCTTACACCGTTACCACAAAAAAGTGTGAAAAATAATTAAGGAGTTTTTTTAATTGTATGATAAGCTCAAATTTAAGATAATTAAAATAAATCAAAGTAAGATATATACTACAAATTGTGTCCAATGGCAGTTTCAATATATTAAATGATTCGGGCCTAATTGTACATGTTTTACCGCCGTTTTACTTAGGCGTTTGAGGCAAATTCGCTCCTATAAAGGTGGTTTTACGCTAGCTTTCTCGTGTTTTAGCATGTTTCAGGATTTAATAGGTGAAACCAGCCTCGGAGTCGAAAGTTGGACGAAAAGGAGCGAAACCGGGAGAAGAGGTGAAAAATGGCGAGTTCGCGGTCTTGTATGACCGTGAAGAAGAGCTGTTGCCCGTGAACTTTGAGGAGTCCAGAGCTATTCCAGATTTTACTGACGCAAGGCGAGTTCACAGTCACTAAGACCATGAACGGGAGTTGTTGACCGTGAACACGTGCATGTGAAGCGGTGCGTTTTGGCGCCCGTCTTGAGTTCACGGACGCGTTTCAGAGTTCACGGTCGTAGAACTGAGCTCGTCTCCTGTTCAAAAGATGAGCTAAAAGGAAGAGAGAGGGAGAGCCCAATGTGTGAGAAAACCTTCTTCCGATTTCTAGAGAGAAAGACAAACCAAAGGAGAAGGAGGCTAGGGTTTTGCTCCAAGGTGGGATTTGGGAAGATTTTCCCCAAGAGAAGTTCAGCACAAGTGTCTATAAGATTGGAAGCCTCCTTCAAGATGGTTTCTCCCTCTTCTCCTTGTGGTTCTCCCATTTCTAGCGTGGAGTAGATTTCTTTTCACTTGGGTGTTGTGAAACCCTAACTAGCTACCATATAGTTTCTTTTATGTGAATTGAATGATTGTCATTGGGTATTTTTTAATTCAATGATTGAGGTATTATTGATGTTGGTGCTTAGTAATCTAATTAGCCACTTCAACCTAGATTAGAGAGGAAAATTCCCCTTTCAAGGGAGACTAAATCGAGTTGGTTTTCCTTTAGCTTTTAAAGTTACCTAACTAGGTTAATTTAGGGCAAATCTCAATATTGAATTAAGCAAATTGGTTAAGCGCAATTAAGCCGTCCAACCCTTGATTTGAGTGAGGGAGTAGGGATGGCAATCAAACCCATGACCGCGGGTACCCGACCGCCCCCGACCCAGTCAACGCGGGGAATCCCCGCTTTGACCGGGTATGGGGCGGGTATGGGTAAAACCCGCAAAAAGTTTGATGGGTATGGGGCGGGTATGGTTTTAGCCTCCCCCGCCCCATACCCATACCCATACCCGCCCCACCAAGAGGATTTCTACACATATAAAAAAATATGTGGATCAAATTGTAATCTATCAATGAAGATGAGGATAACTCGAGAAATCAAATAGTAGAAATGCAATTGAGTGACCACCCTATTCAAAACATAATTCATTTCCCTCAATTCTCTTCACTCTTTCACTTTCACCCTTGTCAACCAGATTATGTTAGTTAATTATTACTTAGTAGATGTATCAAAATTAGAGCATAATAATTGTACTCTATATTATGTATTAATGGATGTTTTAGAATCATATTCTTTGAATCGTATTAAGAAAATGACCGTGTTTTGTTGACTTTGTGATATAATAGGTTTTGTTTAGAGTTATAATTAAACATTTTCTTGTAAGTTTTAGGTATAATAATATTGGATGTACGGGGACGGGTATTACCCATGGGTACCCGAAACCCACGGGTATGGGGATGGGTTTGCAAAATGTTCCCCCGCATGGGTATGTGTGTAGGTGGTGCATGACCATGAGTAACCCTACAACTTTGCTACCATTTGACGAGGATATAAACCAAACTCTTCGGCTCCTAGCACGGGACAGAGAGCTAAAGGAGGCAAGGAGAAGGAGTGAAGGAAGGGGACAACGTTTGGGTCCCGGTGTTAGTGGAGAAGAAGTTGAAGAAGTGGAAGTTGAACACGTCCTTGTAGTAGAAATGATGGGAAACCAAAGACAAGATGGTGTCACTCGCAATTAGGCCTGTCGGTTCGGTTCGGTTCGGTTCGGGTAACCGAACCCGAAACCAGTGAAAAACCGAAAAACCGAATCCGAACCACACCACCCGAACCCGAACCCGAAACTGTCCTTTATGGGTTTCGGGTACTGGAACCCGAAATTGATGGTAGAGGGACTAGAGATAGAAAGTTCTTAAAACAATTCGAGTTTTTATATTTTTACCCTCCTCTGTAAACTCAACATGATAGCACTGCAGAGAGGTGATTGACAGGCCGCAGAGCAACAGACAGGGACTAGAGATAGAAAGAGATAAAGAGAGAAAGAGGGGAGGAGGAGGAGGGGACACTTTATTTGCCTTTTTCATGATGCACGCATCCATGGCAGAACAGAGAAGTGTACACAGTACTGCTTCTGCCACATAACACAAGTTTTTTCCCCCTTCTCCTTTTCCTTTGCAAAGAAAAAAAAAGAAGATATTTCAATTGTTAAAGAAAAGTAGAAAACACAGTAGAAAGGAGTAAAAGAAAGAAGCAACAGCCCACAGATTGCGCACAGAAGAGATAGATAGAGAGAAAGGAAGAGAAGCCATGAAGGAGGTGGGATGAAGGTATGAAGATGTTGTTAGGGAAGGAGGAGTATGGAGCTGATCAAGAAGGTTGTGTTGATGAAGGAAAAAATGGCTGAAAGTGGTAACAGAGGAAGAAGGATAGAGCTTCCAAAGATGAGAGCTTGATGGCATGCAAGGAGAGATAGAGAAACAACTAAGAAAGAAGAAAGAAAGCTGATTCCTTTTCTTTTTGGTGTTTTCTCCAAATCTGAGCACAACCCATCTTCACCCCCCCTCCACAAATCTTGCTTCTTCTCCCTCTGTAGTCTATTCGGTGGAGTCTATTCTGTTGACAAATCCCTGTAGTTTGTTGACTTTAATCTTCTTCGGTGGAGTCGTCTTCAGACTTCAAATGAAATGATGGGTTTGGCATATAATCATCATCATCACCACAAGACTCTGTTTCTGTCTTTCCCCTGTTCCATATATGGACTAAATCTTTTTATCATAAACCTCTGAGATTTCGCGGCTGATGGCGTCCATGGGTTCTCCAGTGGAGGGCAATTCCAGTACCACTGGTGCTTCGAAAAAGGTGTATGTAGCTCTGGGGAACGATCTGTAAGAAGGGTTGAAGACGCTTGATTGGACTCTGAGAAAATGGAGTTCCAGCATCTCCAAAATCGGCATCCTTCATCTGGCCCCCGATTGCTCCAACGATGTCGTCAACACCCACTGTAAGGATATATCAAAATCCCTCCTTCTATTTTCATGAATCTTATCCTGAATTGTTTAATTTCCAGTTGGGAAGGTGCTGGCAAGCTCCATGAGCGACGAGAAGCTTGAAGCTCTCAGAAATTACGAGGTCGCTGGCGGCAAGGACGATGATGGCGGCGAGGAGGCTCTGTTTGTCTCGCTCAGCGCTCTGTTTCGTTTAGGTTTGCCAAAATCGAAGAGACGGCGACGGCACGAAACCCAGCGTGACTGATATGCACTGCGTATCGGGTTTTGCGGGTTTTTCGGTTTTGCGGGTTTTGGTAAACCGAAACCGATGCCGTGTGTTTTGGGTTGAACCCAAAAAAACCGAAACTGACACTGTGCATAGCGGTTCGGGTTAACCCGAAAACCCGAAACCAAATTGACAGGCCTACTCGCAATCGATGGAGGGAGCTGTGCAAATATCGTGAGTCTGGACGCCGTCAAGAAGCCTGTACTAAACACGCAGAAGCATCCCCAACCTTATAGTCTCAGCTGGATCAACGAACATGGAACAATGAAAGTGACGAAACAAGTTCCAATTTGTTTTCAAATCGGCCTCTATGAAGATGAGGTGTTGTGTGCCATTGCACCAATGCATACAGCTCACGTATTCCTTGGTCTTCCTTGGCAATTCGATCGGAAGGTTACCCATGAAGGATGGACGAATTGTTACAAGTTTAATCACCAAGGTAAGAAGTTTGTGTTAAAACCCCTTTATCCGGATGAAGTTTGTGTCAAAAGCAATTGGAGACGAATCGAGCTTCGGGAAAAAGCTCCCAGGCTCAATTGTGGGTTCAGAGACGAGTTGGCTTCAGTTTTATGAGCATGATGAAGCTCTGAAAGAAATCTCCAGAGTCGGAATCAGCTGGAAGTCCCGACCCCTGTTTTGCTTCGACAAAGCAGAGTACTGAGTTCGGCAGCTCTGTCGACGATGACGAAGGAGAATCCAAGCATAACGAGGCACTAGAAGAGTCCATAGAGTCTGAAAGAATGACGACGATTCGAAAGGAAGCACCCGAACAGAATTAGGTGATCAAATACCTCCATTAAGAAGAACTCAGAACCTCTGCCACTTTTCAGCGTAACAGAGTTCTAAAATTGATGATTTGGTCGTGGCGTATGGGGGTGATTCGAAGCAGGAGGCCTTCATCAACACGTTCAAAGAACGTGTACGACTGCTCAATTCATCCCAAAGATTCATGATTCAAAAACGTCCAATTCGGGTGAATCGAGCTCACAGACGCAGAACGGCGAGCAATACGACTCCGAATTGGTTGGAGCAATCGATGATGCTTCGCACCAAATCGCAGTTTCAGAAGCGTTCAGGAAGAATCCGAGAAGCTGTAGGGAGCTTCAATTCGTCTCAAAGAAACTTGGAATCAAAACCCCCAAATCCGAATTCGAAATTCTGGGTTTGCGAAATTTAAATATGGCCGACGGCGGGAAGACGGAGATCATCAATTCGACGACGATGGTGATGAGTCAAGGCAAGCGGTCGTTGCAGAAATCCTCAATTCGATGCCTGACGAAGCCAATGGTGACAGTGAATTAGATTGGCGAGGCCTAAATCGAAAATCCTCAATTTTCTCAATGAAGAACACATACCTAATTTTCCAGAATTACTAGTTTGAGCAACCCACTTTCGATCCAATTTAGGATCAATTCTGTGTACTGACACGCCAAAACACAACACCAATCTGCGACCAAGTGTAATCGCAGATCGAGAATGCAGTATAGTGGCAAGTTCTATTATCAACCCGGGGTCTAGATCTACTGCTTACTCAGTGATTATCTATTATCTAGCCAACTAAGTTAAGTGTTTGTTGTTTAAAGCAAAATCGGAAAGAAAGCAGGAATTGGTACGGTTTTCTCAAGCAAAGAAGAGTCACTCGGGAATGAGTCCCCCTAGATCCTTAGTTAGGTCTCAATTGTAATTACCCTGGGTTGATTTACTGTTGATTAGACTGCGGAAGATCCGACAGTAGCTTGGAATTTCTTAAGCTGACCAAGCCCTCTCAGTCTAACTACCCGGCAGACGACTAGTCTTCACCGGGATAGAAAGCTGAAGCAATAAGCACAGAACTCCACTACTAGAATTGGATTCCAGTACAAATCAGTAAACTGGCTAACTCTCGTATAGCCAATCTCCTACTACCGAATGATGAGGCTCTAACAACCTAATCAGATTCTATCTATCTCAGGTTGCAGCAGAAATCAGGAAAAGCTGATCAGACTTCAATTGACTCAATAAACATGCATCATTCGATTAAAACCAAGCAGTAATATCATCCCAAGTCATTACAATTAAATCCCTAACACATGGAACTAGGGTTCTTCATACCCAAGTGAGAGAAGGTTTCTACTCCATAGAGAGAGAGGAAAACAGAGTACAAAGCAGTCATACTCATAACTATGGGAAGAATCTGCTCTGTGATGATGATTTCCACTCCTACGACGATCTCCAAGCTCCATTTGATGAAACCCAACTCCAAGATAGCTTCTAGGATGTGTTCTTCGTATTTTCTCTCTCTAGGGCTCTGTTTTTGCTCTGAAAATCCGATTTTCCCACTTGCAGCCCAAAATTGGGTAAAAACCAGAAATTCCCGACTCACATGGGCAGGGTCACACGGCCGTGTGGCCTACCCAGTTGCCCGTGTGAGGTCAAAACGCCGCGTTCCGATTAATTGCACTTCAGGCTTCCTACACGGCCAGGGTCACACGGCCGTGTAGCTCACCCAGCCTGGCTGTGTGAAGCCTCGTAGAATTACACACGGCCAAATCACTCCTTCACACGGCCGTGTGGATTTTTCTTGTGCCCGTGTGAAGGCTCGCAGAATTCCACACGGCCAAAGTGGTCACTTGCACGGCCGTGTGGCTTCTGTGTGTGCCCGTGTGGCTTCCTCAGCGACTCGTTGCTCGTCCAATCTTCATCCAATCGACCCCAAACTCGCTCTCAAACCTTCATTCACGTACTAGGACCTGAAATATCACAAACAAGCACAACCTAGCGTGAAATCGGCCTAAAACACGAGAATTACCATCTCAAACGGCTCCAGAATAGGGGTAAAACATGTGCAATTAACGGCTTATCATGTACGGTTTGATCAACGAAAGGAAAAAGTGATGAGGGCAACACTTTTTCAAGAGGGAGGGCCTGATATGATCCCAAATGGTCAACTATACACGCTTAAATTACTTAACGAAGAAGCTATCGAAGTTGGGAAGAAGAAGGGTATAATTTGGCCAAGTCAAAATCCGAGTTCATGGTACCTGCTTTGGAAGCTTGTATCTCACGAATTGCTGAATGAAAATTGGAGATCAAGAGCTTTTTTTTACAGATAAAGTTGCCATCTTTTCAATGGTATCCATTTTGCATCCAGGAGATGTCATTAAGGTTGTCCTCCAAGGCCTCAAAGTTGCTTCCTCAAAACTGGAAAACTACTAGAAAATGGTTAAGTCAGGAAACGTGTTCGTGAAGCCTACTTTGGAGATCAATTCGAGGAACATGGAAGAGGATTCAATTCCAACGGCTTCCACAACATGAAAATAGGTACTTGTGTCCTCTTTAGAGTATAATTTTACCTTATTTGTTTCCTTGTTCATCTAGGTTTGTATTAGGTTTTCTTGGCTATAAATAGCCTTCTATTTACGTTGTAGAACTAAGAATTTGATTAATCGAAAAAGAAACCCTTTGTTTTGTGCAAGTTGCGACTTGTTTGAGTTTGGTGGATTCCAAGCTTGTGAGCTTTGTATCGATTGAATATTCTCTTCACTTGTGTTCGAGCAGCTACCCTTTTATACCATACGAGATTTCCCCAGGTGTGGAATTGTCCGTTGGTTTCGTTTTATCCCAATTTGGTATTAAGAACGCGTTGTTCTTGATTCGAGTTCAATCAATCTTCGGATTGATTGTTTGGTGCGTTACTTTGAAATAAAATACACCCCCAGGGTTGTATCACATTTTAGTTCACATACCATGGTAGCACTTAGGGGGAAGCGACACCCGAGTGATCCTTCTCGCAAAGAGCTTTCAAACCATTTACCTTTGCCTTATTTTATTTTAATTAGCAAACTTTTCAACCAAAACTTTGTTGCTAGATAATGATTCAAATGATTGAAATAGGGGTACACGGACCGGCCCGGGTTGATATTTAAACATACTTATCCTATACTGCACCCGACTAAGGTTTATACTTGGACCTTAGACGGGAATTTATTATGGTATTCGGACGAGTCATTAAAAAACAAACAATGAGGACTTCGCTATTTATTTGGAAATTTACGAACGTATCATACTTTGAAAATCATATGACTAATTACGCAACAATTGTAGTGAATTGAAAATGAAAATAGTGTAAAGATTATAACAATTAACAAGGGATATTATTAAAAAGAAAAAAACATTGGAAAAAAAGATCTATTTACAGAATTGGGGTTGTAACGAAGGTTTAAAAGGAGATTAATGATTCAATAAAAAAGGGGATTAATGATGGTGGTGATTACCATCTATAGACATGGATGAGAGAGAAGCATGCTATTGGTGATTATGATTCCCACCGTTTGTCATTTTCTTTAAACGTTCATCCCTTCCAATGAAAAGTCCACTTGTGTCAAGAAACAGAAAAAGATGACAAGTCCACTTTTGTAAAAAAAAAAAAAAAAAAAAAAAAAGTTGACAAGTCTACTATATGGACTGGCCTCTCTTGAAAATAGCAAAAGCCTGAAAAAGTGAAGAATGCAGATGCTCATGCAAACTTCTAAGGAGTTGCTAAAGGTCGCCTTTAAAATTGCTAAATGACACTCTAAAAAGTATTAAAGTTACACTTATAACCCTCCTAGTTTCTTTACCTTCCCTTTATCAAACAAACACCACTTGGACTAAAAAAACACTATCTAAGGAGAGAAAAATCCATCATCGTCATTTTGAAGCCGATATCGGCGGTAGAACGTCTGAATCATGAGTAGCGACTCCGACGAGGTAAATACATTAACTGAAAAACTAACAAAAAAATGGGAACCGCGGGTCACTTGCGGTTCGACCATGGTCCAACCACAGGCAACTTGCGATTCGGCCATGGCTGAACCGCAAGTGACCTGCGGTTGGACCATGGTGGAACCGCAAGTGACCTCCGGTTGCACCATGGTCCAACCGCAGCTCAGTTGCGGTTCGGCCATGGTCCAACCGCAGGTCACTTGCGGTTCAGCCATGGTCCAACCGCGGGTCACTTGCGGTTCAGCATTTTATGTATTTTTTTCAAATCAGTTACTTCTATTTTTTATATGACTTATGATTTGTTCCATGAGATAATTTTTTGGGTTTTGATTTATATAATTTTCTAGATTTATTTGCATAATTATTTTTGTAATTGAAGGATTTAGCATTAGAAATTAAGATTAAAATTGGCCTTAAATTAAGAATAGATTTAATTTGGTCTTAATCTAGAAAATTAAGATTAGATTTTGCATAAATAATAGATTCGCATATCAAGTTATGATGATTATTAAATTTAATATAGTTATGAAATTTTAAATTTATCATATGGTACTCGTTAAATTGACGATATAGAATGTTAGGTTTTTTTTTTTAATTTGTGGGGTATTACTTATAAATTCTGATAACATTGCAGGATATTCGAAGTTACAATCCGGATGGCCATGATTACACCTCGGATTTCATTGATGGCGTGAAATACACTACGGAGTTGCAAGCATATGAAGCAGCTACTGAGATTGCCAAGGGTTTTGGGTTTTATTAGGTGAGGGCATCGAACAAAAAAAATAAGAATGAAGGTACTTGGCGACATTACCTACATTGCACTCATGGTAGGAAGAAGAAGTCGAAGGAACCTGATCCGGGTAAGGAAAGGAGGCCTCTTACATCTACTGAAAAGTTGGGGTGCGAGTTTCAGATCAAGCTTGAGCGGTTCGGTGATGGATATTGGTTGATCCTAGGGGTGGCAAATACAAAGAATCCTGGTGCTAATTTGGGTTTCCACAATCATCAGTTCGAGCTATTTCCAGAGGGATCAAAGGGAAACAATGTTTTGACTACAGAGGATAAGCAATACATCAGAGAGCTGAGATC